ATTAAATTTTCATTATATCTAATAGTGTTGACGTGTATGTATTGCAATGGCCACGAAAGGCAAATTTTCACTAGATTTTATTTGAGATCTATAATATAAAGAGGAAATTTGTAATCATACTGCTTGACATCGACCTATCCGAGGTTGAGAACAATTCCGAGACTAGTTTGTGCTGACCCATGTTCATTAATCACTACAAGTTCATAAATACTAATTATGCATCAAATTTTTATTCATCAAAATTATTGAACAATCACTAACTGCCAATAACAAAAGTAGAAAATTTTTCAAAATTAGTTTTAACAATAAATGTTAAAGTGTAATAATAATTATTAAGGGTCTTCATTTTGGACCTTGGGAGCTCATCCTTTAACATGTGCCTCGTAACCTGCAATTTAAAAATTTAATTTTAATAAAAAAAATTAATAAAATTAAATATCTACTACTAATTAGGGATGCTAAATCACCATTCTTATATTGATTAAGTCTACTATTATACGAGTACACATTGGAAATTCATGCCTTGAAGCAAAGTACCACTTGCTTCTTGAATTATTAGAGAGCAACTTTTAATAGTTGTTCTGTTCTAATTCTGATGATATTTTATTTTTATCATGAATACCAGGAAGGGCTATTTTTACTTGGCAAATATTTTTGATCAAATTCTTTTAGTGCAAATAAATAAAAATTCAAGAAACTCACAAAAATGTTCTTCTGTTATCTCTTGGGAAGCAAACTGGATTTGGGAAATATCTGGGCACTTGCCCTCACAATCCCAGATATCTTCGCATCTTCTTTTTGAATCATGGTATTTGAGGTATCTCTTGGCCCTACCAGCAGCATCTGAGAAAAATAATTAAACGTTAGAAAAAAAATATTATTAAAGTGAAACTTCTTTAGGCGCGACTAGGGAATAAATCCGTACAAATGCAACGGAAATCCGTTACGCCCGAACTGTTAGTCATTTGCTCTCGATGAAATCATTCCAATACGGGTCGATTGTTATTAGTTGTCGTGTATGTGAATAGAGATATGTCGTAGTATGCGTACCGGCATCAACGTTGTATGCGTACCGATATTAACCAGGAAATCGGCATAGATAAACATTTTAAAGTTACATTATAGTACCAATCTTGATTTAATGAAAAATGCCTGAATCAGAAGAATATTTTACACTGTTCCTTGAAAATAATAAAACAATAAAACAATAAAAATGAGATTATATCGTCAGCGAAAAAGTAAAAAAAATACAAGCAGTCAATGAATGTATGTTAATTTTAATTACATGAAGTTTTTCAAACACAATTACATGATGAGTGACAGTATTTGTTTAGGAGTTGTTTAACATAATCCACTGTGAGAACAAATAGTAAGGAATTTATTAATCAGCAATTACTTAATTTCTCTAATGAAGGTTCATTTCTAAATGCTAATTACAATAACAAACCGATCATGTCATATTTGAAGTATGACTTTAACTTTATTTATTTTATTTTATTATTATTTTTTAATATTATACATATATTTAATGCTATTATAAATATAATTTATAATTTACCGTTATATAAATGTGCATAAAATGGTTGGGTTGACACTAATAAATGTGTGAATAACGAGTGTTACCATATTGCTAATAAACATTATTCAAAATTGTACATTAGCAAATAAGTTTTACTTCAATCGCGTGTGAAACTTACGCGCACTCTTTTTTATGGAAAAAAAGCCATAGGAAATTATGTTCTGAAATTCATTGAAAACTGTGTGGATGCCCAAAAATGAAGGTTGCCGACGAAAGTATTTAAAAAAATCTGTAGAATATTTAATGACAACGAAGTGAAGTTAATTTAGATAGCTGATGCCTCAAAGATATCAATGGAAGGATTTGCGAATTGATGGTTAGGAGTTCTTGGAGCTGTTCGAAATAAAACTGAGTTTTTGCATCGATATGGAATATAGATGAGACCTGGCGAAGTATATAGACACGATGAACGAGGAAAAATCTAAACAATCAGCTGGAGTCAGATTTTTGGGATTAGCTAGAAATGATCTTCATAGACTATCTTGAGAAAGGCCATCAACAATGACTATAACGTTTTTGCAGCATTTGACAGTCCAAATTGAGAAAAATTGCTTTATACAAACTATGTCACAAATCTGTGAAAACAATGGCAAAAATACATGAATTGAGCTAGGAATTGCTTTCCCACCCATCGTATTTTCTAGATCTGGCAACTGGCGACTATTTCATGTTCTCTGATTTCAAAAAGATGTTTGTCTTGAAGAAATTTTCCTCGAATTAAGAGGTAATTAATGAATTTTAAGCCAAACAACGAATCGACTGCAAAAATGGTATCGAAAGGTTGGAACTTTGTTATAATCGTTATATCATCCTCGAGGGCAACTATTTTGAATGAAAAAAAATTGCGGTTCCTTCTAGATTTTATATTTCTTCACCTAATACGGTGTGTTATACAATCAATTCTTCTAAAATAATTCAGGCAATCTGACAACAATCTGTAAAATTAGGTAAACGCCTTGTTGCCATCAGTTGCCTCCTTCAGGATGAAATGAACATATGTCCAAAGATTAGGTAACCCAAATTATCGAATAAAATATTATCATATTTTAGTTAAATATTATACTCACTTCCATCAGTATTTTCTTCATTTGGATCCAAAGCCATAGATTGAACTTGCAGGATAATGGCCATCAATAGAAGAACTCCAACGCACAAATATTTTGCCATTTTGAAAAACTATTAGT